TGCTCACTGCTCCTTTCTTAAACTCCATGAGACAGAGAACCGTTAACTTAAATGTATCTCCTGAATGGACATACGTTGTTTTGGAGGGCCACTTCTGCAAGTATCTCAAACACCATTGCTCTGCCTAATGAACAGGTACCTACGGGTTGGAGTGAAGCATGGACACCTAACTGTTAGTGTCCAAAAAGAAGGATGATCTCCAACACTGTATTGCTAATACACTAGTGATACCATCGCCAGCTGAGACACTGACTTTTGGTTCCCAAAGATAACTGTTGAACAATTAGGTGGGCATGGACCTTATGGCCCATATTCAGCCCTGCCATGCTTTTCTCCTGTCATCACTTGTTAAAGGAAGACTGATGAATTTGTAACAAAAAAAGGAATTAATTCTTTAGGCAGTTGTCTTGATCGTGAAGACAGCATTGCATGCCTTTATATAGGGCTTTTGTCAGACACAATACATTTTTCAAAGCAGTCTATTGATTCTTAAAAAGCAAGACCTATAAAAATAGAAAGGAGTTTTTAGGGCTTATATTCATTAAGCCAGACAGAACTAGCGTGACTGGAAAAAACACTGCAGACCCATAGCATTTAATCCTACTCTGTTTAATTCTTAACACAACATTAGAGCTAATATAGCCTTAATTAAATCCTATGTTAAACACTCTACATGCCATTCTATTTAAACTCAGAATAAATGTGTTTAACATCTACACAGTGCCATGGCGGGTTAGAAGGATTTGCTAAAGCAGTGTTTGCAGAGTTTTACATATACCCTGCCTTCAGTGGTATCTCTTGTGATTTTATCAAATTCAAAATATGATAGTTTTGAAAGTTGGAATGTATTTTACCTGAAATGAAGAGATACATGAATGTAGAAGGTTTCCTTTATTTATTTATTTGAGAATCTTTTCAAAGTGAAATTGCAATAATAAGCTGCAGAATCTCTACCTCAGGGTGGGGGGGGGGGGACACAACAGTCAAAGACTGAACAATCTCCCCAGTATGTCCAATTCTGAGTGCAAGGGTTTTTTTATGTTTGAGGGTTTAACTACTACAAAAAACATTCATCTATTTTTTTTTATCTTTTGTTTCCTTCCCTATGCACAATGTCAGTTATCCGTGACATACATCTCAGCTAATCTAAATTTAGAGATATATTAAAAAATCTTTAATGGCTAAGCTTTTTTAAAGCTTAAAAGTATGCTGATATAGTTAAAGACATGTAATTGTAACTTATTTTGAAGTATATGCCAGACAGGTAATCCACTGGGTTTAAGCCATATGAAAGGCAGGACAAGTCGTTTCTATAAAACAATGCCATTGTTCACACTCTTTTTTCCCCAGTTGCTACATTTCTTTTGATATAACCAAGGCAAACTGGATTGTCTCACATGAGCTAACCCAATGGATTTGGGAGAAAAAACACAGGAAGGGAAGGGAACTACGTTGTTAATCAGCCTGTTTTCAGGTACCGCTTTTTTTTTTTTTCTCCCCAAAGCATCAAAACGTCACATTCTTGCAAAGAATGACTTGTTGGATTCTGGTGCTTCATCACTACCAAGAAAGCATCACCACGGCAACAGGGAAAGGCTACACATTCCCAAAATACTTCCAAGCAGACCACGGGCCTGGTTTAAGATAACGCTGCTGCAGCATGGCAGAGGGCCAGCAGGGGCGGAGGAGGAAAGCAGGCAGCTTTCTAACAATGAGAAAAAGAATTTAAAGAGAATGGAGAAATACCAATACTGTAGAGCTGAAACATATGCTATTTCCAGGCTAAAATGTAGAAGGAGAGGGACAATGAACTGAGTATTTATTCATGCCGGGAATCCGTCAGCAAGCTTCTCCTCACTGAAATCCTGAGCTTGACTGCAAGAGTCACTGGCAAATGACTGACTGATGTATACCTTTATGATTTATCCCTTAGCCTCTTTATAGGCATCCAAAATGTTTTGCAGCCAGCAAGAAGCATCCATATGGTAACCGCAGAAGAGCATTTAAAGCAAATATTTCATGTAGGTCACCTGTCAGGCAGAACTTGGTTAGCATCTCCTGGTGATTACTCATCATCTGATCCAGTGTTATAATTTAAAGGTGAAAGGGTCATTATATTTGTCTTCCAGTGTAGTTGTCCTAGTTAGCCACTTATCTTTGATCCTCTCCTACAGCATCTTTCAATCCTCAAAGCTCAATGTGACAGGTTTTGAGAAACAAAGCTATAAATCTACACTTAACCCCAAATATGAATCAGGAGAAGCTCAGAGTATGTGACAGAATGAAACTTAAACCATATGATACTTGCCAGACAAGGTTCATACAGGATTCATAGAGGATATTTTTTCTCTTCATTTCCCGACCTCTATTGTTATGCTTTGTTAAATCTATTTAAAATGAAACAGGTGCTATGATAATAAAAAAATACAGAAAAGTGCATGTATGAAATGACAAACAGTAACTGCTGTTTTCATAGCCATGTTCTTTAAAACCATTGCTTTGTGAAAGAATGAGTGTGAATGTTTCATGGGTTTTGCTTTAGCAGAATCACAGGCATTTCTGTGAGTTACAATAGAGCTCACTGTCTTTGCCCCTCTGGCCAGTTCAGCAGAGGAGGAAAATCACAGTAAGAGCACTATGAATATGCCAGTTCTAGAACCACTGGGAATCTATTTATTAGTCCAGTTTTTCATTTTCTCTTTTCACACACTTTGTTAGAAAGCCTCTTAATAAGGTTTGGGAAACACATAAAAAGAACTTTGAGTGCAAAATACCAACTTGCTGATGTGAAATGACACCAAAATAACACATTCATTCACCAGTCATCAAGATCGTCTGTGTGTGAGGCCAAGGTTATGCCATCTATAGTATATACTTTTTCTGAGACAGAAACAGAGCCAGCTGTGTCTGATCACCAAGATATTTGTACAAAGACTGAGTTGTTCTTAGTTGATAGATAGAAGGGGTTGCTGTGACCACCTTGTTCTTTCTATTGTGGAAATATAACTGCAGACTTGTGAATTAAAGTTTCTACCTGGTTTGAAAGTCTTAAAGTGCTCAAATACAATTAGACATGCTTTCACTCCTGCCCCTGTGAAATAACACCCCATTGCTGTGAAATTTCATTCCACTCCAACCAGACCTGACTTGTTCAGGGCACAGAAGTTCCTTAGCAGAAAACCACGAAGTGGGATGACCTACTCGACTCAGCGTGGCTTCCAGAAGGAGACTGAGCAACCCTGAGCAACAGATACAAGAGGAGCACCACAGGCTGGGGCAAACAGGACCTCCCTTCACTACACCTGACCTATCAGCAACAGCTTGACTGTCTAACATAAATCCAGTTGTAGCCTGGCTTGCAAATGTGCTTCTACAGAAAAAGAAACACGGGATATAACCTTCAGGCACAAACTGACACGAAAATTCCAGATAGAAAAAAAACAAAAGGATCAGACAGATTACTGATGAAAAAAATTCAGGTGGGAGATTGCATGTTATAAACGAGGAAGAGATGCACTGAAATCTTACAAAGAGATGGCTGCAAGGAGGTAATGAAAGCTTTTACAATATGGTATTGCTTGTACAACATCTACACTTGGGATTCTCAGCCCTCAAACATCTCCCTTCTTCTTGTAAACATCTGTCCCATTTCCCAATTAAAGAGCTAGAAGGTAACTCTGTAAGGAATTGCTTGGTATTGCTTGACTTTGGGAGGAAATAAATGTATAACTTCAGCATATGTTTTTAAGACACACATATATGTGTCCTGCTATCTTACCAAGATTGACAGAAAGATACATCCTCAAATACCTTGGACAAAAAACAATTAGAAGCAAGCCATGACAGATTCAGTTTTCCTTCTAATTTACACCAGTAAAAATGAAAGCAGAATCTGGCCACAACCTGATACAGGTGTGAACTTCCACCTCATTATATAAACCTGAAGGGAACAGAATTTTTTTTTTGAAGTATCTGAATTACAAGGAGCAAGATTTAAAAAAAAAAACCCATATTCAAAAGTAAGGAGTATTATATACTATCAAAGACTGTCAGTCACAAAACTGTATGAGAATGCTAGGATCAGCACATCATTTTTGCTTTTCATTTTCGACATGAGTTGGATGTGCTTGTTCTTAATGGCATTTCTCATTAAACATGGCCTAAGGAAAGCAGACATTTCAAGCATGGAAAAACAAATCAGCAGTTTATAAACACATTTATGCTTAAAAATAGAGTGTATATATACTTCTGAATGAGGCTGAGTAGAATATTTTCACTTATTAGGAATCCAAAATAAGAAATGCTACCGTAAGCAACACTTTCATCCATACCAGTAGCCCTCACTTGCACGGCTACAAAGAAAGTACTATCACACCAGCGAGGTCCAAAATGAAGATTCAATTAGTGTAAAACTAAGGCAAATTATAAACAAACTAGAATGCTGAAATTCCCTGACACTAAACTAAACTCTCCTAAGATTTAATATCTTCCTAATGCCTCAAGCCTGAAAACTTGTTGTGATAGGTAACAATGTGCCAGAGAAGCAGGATACAAGGGACTATAAACTTGAAGCTTTGCTGTCTACCCTATTTAAAATGTGGAGGCAGCAAACAAACTTGCACATATTTTTTTGAAAATAATATGTTTAAAATGCAAATACACCATGAACTCCGAACACAAATGAACTGAACTCTAATGTGAAGGTACTAGAAGGAGCTAAATAGATTAGTGCTGCCTGTTGCTACAACAAGGTTACATTGCTCCACAGACTTAACTGTGATTAAAAACATGTAGAAGTATGCATGTAGAAGTAGCAGAAATTCTCCTGTACTGCAGTTTTGTATTTCATGTTGTGAAATTGTGGTAATTGTGGTAATTGTGGTAATTGTGGTAATTGTCCTACAATAGTCAATAAATTGCCTCACTGTAATCATTTTTCCTTTGAGGGGAGGGCAGATATATCTCTTTCCTGCACTCATGTCGAGCGGCCCCAGACTCACCCGAATCTAAGTGCCACGGGTCTGTAGCGGCCGACATGGGTGGGATTGTCAAGGGGGACGCGCCGCAGTTGGACTCCACTAGCTCTCCTTGGATGTGCACGTGAGAGGAGATGTTGGTAGGCCTCAGAGCTGCTTTGAGTGGAGCGATCTGGTTGAACTGTACTCTGGAGAGGCAGCCAGTGAATCCCGGTGTGTTGTATTTATAGATATCTTGATCGATCTTGCCAATTTCTGTTGAAAAATTAGAAAGAAAAGATTAATCAATACAATTCTCTGCCTGAAAAAGCACTGCACATAATTTCCTGAGCTGAATTCCAAAATCGCTCTCAAGGGTCTGAGCACATTTCAGACCCTGCCAGGTTTCTTCACATTTCATTTCAGATTTAAGCTGGAAACCTTCAGGCTTTGATGGGACTCCGTTTCACTGCTATACTGTCATTAGAAAGCAAGGCTTGGAAAGAAGTGTGAAAGATCAGGAAAATCTCTTCTCTAAGAAGTGACAAAGGAGAATTTATAGGGACAATCCTTGTCAACATACCTATTTCCCATATGGAACAACTTCCATGATGTACTCATTCATTCGGACCCTTCTCCCTGCAGCTCCCTCCCTCTTTCTTCCTATTTCTTCACTAAAAAGATGAAGCCCATGATGGAAAAGCAGTCTCTCTCCCTCCCTCCAGTTTCTTTCTACTGGTAATGCAGCAGAGTGGCACAAAGAAGGAGATAGCAAAGGCTCTGCACTTCTCTTATACATTGAGGCTCATGAGCATGCCGTCCCTCTCCTTCACATCAGAGGATATGACATTCATGAGCATTTTAGATGTCAGGCATCATACCGCAAGAGTTCTTGTTGTCTGTTAATATGCAATGGATAGATAGATAGATAGATAAGATCCTCCACCAAATCCAAGCAGCTTGCCTTCTTTTTAAAGAAACTAGCTAAAGTAATCTCCAGAAGAGAAACCAGAGAAATGCAGCACACATTCTCACTACAGGGGAATTTGCAGGTCCTTCACAGCTGGTTTACTCCTCCAGGGACATGAGATGGCATTATATACTCTTCCCAGCATGCACCGCTTCAGACACAAAATCTTGGCTTTCAGGACCAACTGGCTACATCAGAGAGGAGCATTTCAAAGCAGTGCTACAGCATCAAACTGAATATTCGCACTGCGGTTAGGAAGTCAAGTTCCTTTCCTCCGTGACAGTAAACACACATGAATCACAGCAGCATCATATCCATGCTGGGCTGCAGGATCCGACTCCAGAGCCTTGGACAGCATCGTGTGCTTCTGCTCTGTTTTCCTTTCCTCAGGTTCTCCCAAGAGAGGTAGAAGGAGAAAGTGGAGAAGAGATTTATTGCAAGTGTTGGGCAAGTGCTGGCAGCCAAAGCACACTTGGGTTTCAGTTTTACTATGCAAAATTCAAGTAGAAATTATTACCAAGTGTGTTAGTGTGTATTAGCAAAGCACACTAAGTCATACAGATAAGTCAGTTCTAACCAACCTGGGATCAGTTATTTATTAGAGGCAAGGAGGTTGGGACTTCCGAGTGAGCTTCCTAATATCTGCCATGGTTCACAGTGCCCTAAGGGCAATCCCTAAGAGCAATAAGGGTTCTACCTCAGAGATATGGACGTGGAGTTTCAAGGCTGTAAACCAGGCAAAGTATTTCAAATAAGGTTTGTATTTGGGATTTACACAGTAAACACAATTATGCGTCGGCATGACAGGAGGAATTAACAGGGTGAGAGCTGCAAAAAAGGAAGATGCATAATCTGAAAGTTATCTACATGAAATCCTTATGTGAGTCACTCTCCAGGATTTGTTCCATCCTCCCCAGTTCCCCTTCTCCTGCCCATTTGGCAATGTCCCCTTCCCTTGCTCGTGCTGCCTTCATCAGTGTGGCACCTCCATTTCACAGGCTGTCGGCGAGCAGCGACTGCCACCTGTGACAGAGCGCAAACATGCTCTGGACTCGGCTGGAGACTACATTAAACTCATTTAAATCATGGCATTAGACACATGGTCTTTCATCCAGCCTGCTCCCTCTCAGAAAAGTGGCTTGAATGAACAATTAGCATCTTCCTAAATTCAATACTGAAATAAGTATATTCATCTATACATGCACATTTTCCTTATTTAGTCTACAGAAGCTGCAGAGAAGCATTTGTGCATTTGAATGCTACTTGTAAACCCTAAGACTCAGGGACGGGGAAGATTCATACCTGTCTGCAATATTCACTGTTTTCTATTACAATACAATATTCATGGTATACACAAATGAATCCATCCAATGTTTAGAAGTGTTCATCACCTAACTAACAGAAAAAAATAAGCACTAACTGCTTTTATTAAGAGCTTAGTGATAACCCTTTATTCATCTTTACTTAGATTTGGTGGAACTTCACCCAGTAATGCTAATAGCTTCCCACCAAATCCTCAGTGGCAATAACAAATACCCTGAGTACAACTGTGCTACTCGAGCAGCTCCAGCACTGCTCATCTCTAACACACTGAACAGTAACAGATGGATATTAGCTCCTGTAAGAAAGGAAGGAAATAACAAAAATAACGAGCTTTATTCAAGGTGTCTTACCAACATTTTTAAAAACATTCCACAAATGACAGCTATGTAATGTCACCTCAAGGAAATTTGTGATGGGCTTCATCAACACTATCACAAGATGGATCAAGGGAATGTTTTGTGTGGTAGCTGTGAACAAGTCCCTTCCCCTGCAAGTCCCGTGGGGCTCTGCACACTGATATTCTCTGATGTTATTATTATATTTTGCCTCCATGTGTACTTGAGCCTGCTATGAACCTGTCCTTGGGGATCTCAATGATTGCATAATGAAATATGCCTTTGGTGTCAGGACTAAAATTCAATTTTCCCTCTACAGCAAGAGGGGGAAAAAAAAAAAAAAAAAAAAGATGAATGTCACATTATTTAAAATACATGGAAATATACACTGCAGCTGTTTTCCTTTGTTTTAATTTTCAGCACATAAGCTAGTGTAAAGCCAAGTAAACTAATATTACTAGTGTTATTGCGGCATCAGAAGTGATCAGTTGGGATGCAGTAGTCTTTTTTTGGCATCCTACCTCCCCACAAGCATCTCTGCATCCAATGAAAGACTTAAAAACACCACACTCAAAGGCTGATTTTCACTTCTGTTTTTAACTGTTCAATCCCTTGACCACATAATCAACCAATCTGAGTTGAAGACCATGAGTACAAACCAAAGGCCATTCTATTAAATCCATTTTAGCACAGACTGACTTTAATGTACAAAAATTAACACCGAACATTTTCAGAATAACTACACAACTGCCTACTTCAGATTAATTAACATTTAAAAAATGGATTAACACATATTACACTAAGAACTTCATAGCTGTTGCCACATTTTTTGTGTGCTACAATTTACTGAAATTAGATTTAACATCAATTATGTCTTATTTATGCTTTTTTTAGGCAAGAAAAAAAGCTACTGGAATTGAATTCTCATTTACCAGTTTTGATTTCAGGGCTTATTTTCCACAGCTGTGACAGAAATATTCCACATATTGATGATTTCTCAATTGAAAATTATGCCTTACTGCTGAAGTAGGTTTTTTTCCATCTGGGTGAAAAAATGCAAAGTACAGTTGTTTTTCCTGAGCATGCAAATGACACAGGGTACCATTAATTAATGTGTGCAACAGGTTGAAATTCATTATCCTAGGGATCCCGAAAAATAACAAGCAAAAATACATTGCATATTAATTGGATCCAAGTATCACAGAACAGTTGAGGTTGGAAGGGAGCCATAGAGACCACCTAGTCCAACTCTCCTGCTCCAGCAGGGACACCCAGAGCATGCGGAACAGGGTGGCATCTAGGCAGGTTGGGAAGACCTCCAGGGAAGGAGACTCTACAATCTCTCTGGGCAGCCTGTCCCAGTAATAATGATAATAATCACATAAGTAATAATCATATAAGTAGCACACAGAAATCCTGATAAGTCTATACTTATCAGTCAGGTAAGCTGCTTTTAACTTTGCTGTGATATCTGAAGATGTAGAATTGCGACTCCTGCCCAGGTACTATTACAAAGTCAAACAATTTGGTTCAGATTATCATCAAAGCCGACCCAGTTTGTGCACACCTGACGTGTACAAGCAGACATGTGCCAAAAATAGGAACCGCTTCTGTTCATTTCTTCCCTCTCCTCTCTATTTTCCATGTTTACCTGTGAAACACCTATCTATAGAGTAGCTGAAAGGGCTGCAGGACCTCTGTGGACAAAAAGCCAGGACGTTTCTCATAGCATCGCCCTGCTCAGTTCTAGCACTTACATTTTGGATGGGTTTCTAGCATCACTGAGAAAGCCTAGAGAAAAATGGCAGCCTGATTAAACACAAACAAGTGACATGTGCTGGACCTAGAGCACTCAACAGGTTTTGGATAGACCAAACTGTAATGCTTTCTATTTATGTAAAATTCTCCATGTGAGGATCATAGAGGAATCACACATACAATGAGCTGTAGCAAATAAATAAAACCCAGGACAATATTGTGCCATACCACTTTAACCTTTCTGAAAGACAGCCATGGCCTCTAAATTCAGAAAGAGGGAGAGGAGAAAGATCCAGCTGTTACTGAGGAAGGAAATACCCTCACTGCAGGAAAATACTCTTTGTAGACTACTATAACATTTTATGAAGTATATATGCTGAACATTTACTCAAGTTACTTTAAATAGATGCATTTTTTTCCTTCAAAATTCAACAGGCATTTTTTTCCTTCAAAGCACTCTGAAATGTCGATCAATACAGAAAGTTATAATAAATTCTGAATCCTACATCATATTCAATACATTCAGAGGGAGGATGAAGCCACCCATACAAAATTTGTTCTATTAGAAACTAGAACTCGAAGTAGTTTGTGCGTATAAACAACAATTTCATGTAATAAATATTCTGTTAAAAAATTCCCTTGGGAGTTTTGTAGCGATGTCCTTCATAGCTGAAAGCTGCCATGTCTAAGGTTACTTCTAGCACAGCAAGATTCTCTGTGAATTTTACAGGCATCTAGCATTCTTTCTTTTTGATGGCTGTGAAAGCTCTGTCCAAAGTAGTACATAGTGAGAAAAGGGCAAGAAAAGCAATATATACTGCACTGATTTTGGTTGTGACAGAGGATGCCTTTTATGTCATTGGCATAATCACAACTCTTTCAGTTCAGTT